CTCGCTGTCCCCTGCCACCCGGGCCCGGGCCCCGGGGGGTGCGGGGGCTGCGGGCCGGGCTGAGGGAGAAGGGGAAGCCCTGGGGGCTTTGCCCAGGCTGGGGGGAGCCTCTGGCTGGTGGGGAGGTCAGGGCCCGATCTGTGTGTGGGGCGGAGGGAAAGGATGCTGAGGGCTGGGACAGAGGTGTCTGCTATGAGACAGAGACAAGGTGCGTGTCAGAGGGGTTTATGTTTTGTGTTTACAAGCCCGGAGTTGCTCAGCATTGCTCTCCATCTCAATGCATGCTATTGCCAGTGTGCTGCAGAGCTCTCTGTGTCCCCCACGGCGGCCCTGTGTCGGTCCTTACCTGCTCGATGTACAGCAGAACATGGTTTGTGCTTACTTCTGTCCGTTGGATCTGGTGAAACCAAGGGTTTGAGAGCTGGAAAGAGGAGACATGGAAGAGGTTGCTGATCTGAAGGGAAGTTAATCAACCACCCTTCAACTCATCTAAGCTTCCTCCCATCCCTAGAACCTCAGCAGGTGAATGCTGAGAAGTTAAGCACAGGGTGAGTACTTCTGAGGGGACTCAGCAAACACTCTTCTGAGAAGCCCCGCACAGCAAGGCTTCCCCCAGTTGCCACCATCTCATGTTCTTGCACCTCCTTGGCACAAAAATGGAACGAGTCTGGTCTTTTCCCAGCTCTCGGTATCAGGGCCAAAGTGTGCATACATTTGTGCTACTGCAAACTGCCACGAGGATGGGAAGGGAGTGCTGCTGCTGGCATCCCTTGTTCACCTATCCTGGTCAGCTGAGGGGTGGAAGAACTGGAGGAAAAGAGGGACAGGTCTAACAGTGGAGAAGGTACCAGGAGAACAATTAGATGCCCTTTTAAATAAGGAAATTGATGTAGAGCAGACATACTGAAAGATGTCCTTCACAAAGGCTCCTACCTTCCTCACAGAGGACTTCACAGGGATGAATCCCGACAGCATCTTCACATCAACAATCACCATGTTGGAGCCATTGCGCTCCCCAGTGTAACTAAGGAACCAACCAACAAAGATTCAGTGCACCTCAAGTCAAAGTTGCGGGCACTTCCACCTTCTCCATAAAGCTTGGCACTTCACCACATCCTGGCAGTCCAGCACCTTCTTCTCCAGCTATGCCAGGGTCTTCCAGTCATCTATGCAGCCTCCCATTAGCCCAGCCCTGGGCAGCCCACACAGTTCCATCACTGCAGGACTTCTCCTTCCTCCACAGCCTCTCCTCCCAGCCCTGCCCACTTTTCCAGGGAACGCACTGCCCTTCCAGGGCTTCCAGACTGGCTCACCCTGGACCACCAGACCTCCCCTAGCTCCCAGCTCCAGCCTTCTCAGGAAGGCTCAGAGCCAAAAGCAGACTCACCTGACATTTATGCCTATGTCAAAGACCCTGTGAGCCTTGGGGTCTGCACATGTCTCTGGCATCGTGTACACATGGAGCATGAAGGGTGCATCCTCCTGCGTGGGCTGCACGTTGTACCTCAGGCTTGTCTAGGGGAGAGCCAGCAGCTCTGGGTGAGGGTGTGTGCACGCGTGCTCAATCCATGAGAGAGACCATCCTCTCCCTATCCAGCCTCCCCACTTCTCCCATTCTCATAGCTCCTCCACGCTGCTGGATCCTTCCCTCCTTTCCTCCCACTCTTTCTCCTCCATGTGGCTCTGCTCTTCTTCTCCTCTTCCCTCTCCCAGAGCCTTCCCTCCCACTCTTCCCCTCTCCGCTGTCCCTTCTGCCCTCTCCCTGGCTCTGGCCCGGCAAGGGGCTCCCTTCCCAGGGTGCCCCCTGCCCCCATCACCCTCACCTGCAGGTAGACGCATCCTTCGCCAGACACCTCCGTGCTGTACTCCCCTGGCACCTGGGGCAGGGGCACGCGCTGGAGCAGCAGCCGGCT